AGAATTTACAGGATTTTTGAAGCCAAAATTCCTTTTTCAATTAGCGGCGTTCAATGCCCACACAAGCTAACCAGGTACCCGGTTTACCGTGTTCTTTGAATATACCTCGATGCCAGATTTTCGCCTCTATTCTTCCATTGATCTGGATCCCATTCTTATCCATAGAGCATTTTACCACGAAAATTCATAAACTGGTGAAAATTGTTCTTGGGCAGCATAACGATAACGATAACATTCCAATTACACTGACTTCGGGATCCAGCCACGGAAGTTGTTTCGAGCTCTAACAAAGCACCGCCTAACCGAAATCAAACTGCATCATGCATAGAATGTTGGTTATTCAATAATGAATAGTCTATTTTGAGAGCTGAGGTTATTGTGCAAATAACGGAGATTACTGAATCAATTAGATGAGGTTAGATAATCATCGAACTATTGGATTCTACGACTAACCAAGCATATTTTTAATCCTGAGTTGGGAAAAGAAACTAGCACTGATGATGACATCCAAGGCTGAAACCGTCAAATAGCAGAAGTTTCTTTTAAGGACAATTTGTTAATCTTCTGTAAAATTCCTAGATCTACTTTAACACTACTTAAAGTTCACCCGTCGTGAGTTAGCTATCATATACTCTGTGAACATAATCTCATTGATATCATACCGAATTTGGTATTTTTTCTGATGATAAATTTCTACCAGAGCCAAATCACCTTCAATACGCTGCTCTATACTCTTATATAAAATGTAAAGGATATTTACGCTTGACACGTTTCATTTTTGGTTGTCTGCGTCAAGTTAACCATAGCCCAAAGGCTGTAGATACGTATACCGAAACGAGTTATTACAATAAAATACACGCTTTTCGGTTCGCGTTCTTTTTTATTTTGTAGGAGAAATTTCACCTCACTGGCATGGAAAAATCAGATAACTAGGTTCAGATTGAGACAATGCGCGGAACTTTTAAGACAATCTCAGACAAGCGAATATGAGATCACACAGAAATTTGATTACAGCGACCATAAGAATGAGAGAAACACGGCTGTTAATTGCCCGGCGGCAACGAAGAGAAATGAATCCCTTCTGCTGAGGCCAGGGAAACTCACAAGCAATCAGAAAAGTATGATGAGGGAAATGCAGTGATAAACAAAGAAACAAATAGGTGAGCGTTGGATTTTAGATTGCCTCAATATGCAAATTCCAAAAGGAAAAACGACGCATTTTACTATTGTAGAATTTTTTGCGATAACTTCTAGGTATTTCTTGGACAGTGTTCTCGTTAGGAGTACAGCGTTCATGGTTTTTAGCGTTCGAAGGAGTACGCAGATTGCGAGAGACCAGAAATACATTCAAAACACCGGGCAAAAACCCCGGGAAATAAACAGAGGGTGACAGGTAACATTTGACCTCAAAATGGACAATAATTGGTGTCTGTGAATTTTGCAATTCAGTTCCTTTTACAATAAATTCTGTCGAACTTGACGATTGGTTTCCGACGACCTTTCTGTGAAATGTATGCAGTTATGCACATTTTGTACAGCACAAGACAGTACTGCTCATGAGTAGTCACAATATGCGCACGGAAAAAACCAACCGGATTCCATTGCATCTAAATTCTCATGTATGCACCATTCCCCTACGTGTACGTGATCGAATGCGGAGTGTAGAGTGGTAAAACGGATTGGCGAGCTTTTTTTAAAAGGATCCTGCAAACACCTCAAGAGCATTACTACTCACAGAAGAGCAAAATGATACCTACCAGTTTGCATTCAAACACCAGTCACTATTGATTCTTCTTCCACCATTACTTCCTACTGAAGCGGAAGTACAATCAAGCATTCAAGCCCTGAAGAAAGGAAAAGCAGCAGGACCCGACTGGCCTCCTCCTACTCTTTTCAAGATGGAGGGCAATGACCTCGTAGATTCCCTTACCGATTTAAAGCGTAACATCTGGTCACAAGAGCGCATTCCGTCAACCTGAAGCGAATAACTGATAGCTCCAATTTTCTAACAGGGATCTCGCAACGATTGCGCAAATCACCGCGGAATAAGTTTGATCCCAATCGTCACCAAGATATTAGCCCCCGTCATACTTCGACGTCTGACACCGTTCAGGGAGACAAATATTCGCGAACAACAAGTAAGATTTCGACCAGGTCGCGCTTGTATCTATCAACTCTTCACGCTGCGTCAAGTCCTGGAACTACGCCATACACGCCGTCGACCAACGGTTGTCGTGCTCCTTGACCTCGAAGAAGCCTTCGACTCAGTTGGCTGCGAATCCCTTATAGGTTCGCTACTCCGTAAAGGAACACCGCAGAAGTATGTGAACATACTGAGGTCACTCGACTCGCATATTTCTGGTAGCGTAAGGGTCTACGGCGAGCTGAATAGGTCGTTCGAAACTAGGAACGGTGTTCGTCAAGAGTGCACTATTTCGCTATAGATGCAATAATGGAGAATGCACTGAATGGTATCTAAAATGTTGGTATTGAATGGGCAACTGAAGAAAAGCTGTGTAATTTCGAGTACGCTGACAACATCGATTGCCTGCTCGAATGTATGGAGGATGCACAAAGAGCAATTGATAGTCTAGCAAGTTCTGTCGCTCCGTTCGGCATGTGCTTTGCACTTTCCAAGTGCAAAGTGAGGCTACAAGACTGGATGTCGCCGACTTCTGCTCGGAAACTAGACGGTCAGGAATTAGCTGAGGTAGACTGCTTCTCGTACTTGGGTAGCTGTGTGACCAACGACGCTAGCGCTTTAAAGGCTCAAACAACGTACGCCGGACAAAAATATCTGGAGACGACGTGACTTTTCACTGGAGTTGAAAAATCGCGTTTACTGCGACACTGTACGATCAGTTTTGCTTTACAGTTATGAGACTTTGCACTTGCGAATAGAAGAAATCCGTCACCTAGTGTTTTTTAACATTGGACACCCACGTAATCTGGCCCAGGTGGAATGGAGTGATCGGATTAGAAACCTAAAAGTAGGTCGTCCGGCGTTTGGGAGTGCATCGAACATGAACTCGTTAGCGCATCGACTTCAGCTCAGTAAGCTCTCTTGGTTAGAACACGTTTTAGGTGTTTATAACGGTCGCCTGCTAAATCGTACCCTATTTGCAGTGGCCGATGCAGACGGAGGCAAGCCACGTGGAGGCCAGCAGATGACGTGAAGAAATGCACACAGTGACCAGATAGAGTAGATGTCGCACGTCTTCGGGGTTGGGGTCCAAAAGACACCACGATTGGACGGTTGGAAACAATGAAGTTCACCGCAGCAAACCGACAGCAGTAGCGATCTTGCTGTCATTTCTCATCAGTCCAGAATGCTTGAAACACCATGTCTGCGCAGCCGGACTGAAAAGTCTGTGGTTTGAACATAGAGGTTTGCTTTCTTTTCCCGTCCCTAAAAATAGGTCCAATCCCTGTCCTCCTTATACATTCTCACTTACCTTGTATGCAATATGAGTTTGGTTGCAATCAGTGGGATTTGCTTCACTGTATTACGCTGTACGATGATTACTACTCATATGTGGGAAAACATGGAGGAATATTTTAATAAAAACAAAATATTAAAAATACGGTTTTTGAAAAAGTTTCGCATTGCCCCTTTACTCAACGAAGTCTAACAGCTGAAAATAAATTTCTAAGACGTTCATAAATGGTTTTTAGTATTACTGAAAAAGGTATGACATTTAAAGGCAGTTACGGTGAGAACTTGTATTGTGGTAACTCATCCAGACCTAAAAACGAGTTTGCTGACGAAATGACTCACCACGGTGAAAAGGCACGCAAGACATCACCCGGTTTTATCGTATCCCCAAGTAAAACTGTGGAATCCCGATCAAGTGGACCCGAACGACAATGCACACCGGAAACTGGCAAAAAAAGAATGACAGGTTTCATCCGAGATGCGATTTCGTTTTTCTCTTGGACCGCATTTGCTCCTAGAGATTCTCCGGGAGGTTCCATTAAAGTAGCACGGAAACCAACCACTCCTGGAATTCCAACCGACTGGAAATGCTGATTCAAGTCTATTCGAAATAGTGTGGTATCTCTACCTGTAAGCACTGTGGGAAGAAAAAGCGGCGAGTTATCATCAAAAAGCGAACGTAATTGAATCCTTCTGATGGGTTTCCAATAAGAAATGAAACAATCCAAACATTTAATAAACATGCATCTATTTACTGAACAACAAATGTTGCAATGGTCAACAGTCAGCAAAGTCGCAGATTGCTGTTGTTGAGAGGTACCGAGATTGACCGAGTATACGATAAGAACTCTCCCTTACGAAAGAAAACTGGATAATTAAGATAATAGTCCCAAAGCTATTCTTATAATCTAATCCAAAGTTTACAAATAGGGAATTATAGATCAGAAGTTGTCCAGTCAATCGCTAGATATTATATAACTCCCTTCCAATAGAACTACTCATTAAAAGTGCAGACAGAGACAAAGCGCACACCATACTGAATAACTTGAGATTGCCAAGCCGTTTAGCACGCCTCGTATCACGGAGCAAGGCGATTTCATCGGTTTACTACAAATCTAACTCTTTCCCAGGAGAGAGCTCAATCTCAGCATTTCTCACCCTAATTAACTTGATTGCAGGGCATCATCTATGGCTACGTTGAAGAGAAACTGNATCATTTTCTTCCTTTTTACTCAAATCCCTGCTTCCATTTCAATTTCATCAATGACGCGTTGAAACTATACTTGCTCTAAAGCCAGCGTCAAATGTGTACGGAGGTGGAAGGTAAAAGGAGAATTCTCGCCACTCTCCACTGAGCTGAATGGCAATCACTTTAGGAGAACCCAGCTCAAAGTGATTCCAACCTTCGATGCAAACCCGAATTCGACAGCGAGATTCATCATGGAATTCCCTCATCAAAACGCTTACCTGCATGAGCACGAACCAGGCCTTGAACTGGTCTGCCAGTTGCCGGTTCATAGAGGACTGCAGACTACCTACCCCAACCTACTACCTTAACGGTCAGGTTTTTTAACGTAAGGCTCCGGAAAAAAAAACTGAACAAAACCCTGTATTTTAACCTGAATAACCGCGTAGTATCAAACCCATAAAATAATCATAGCTTTACTGACAAGAAAAGCTCAAAGGGAAAACTGCAGCTTTTTTAAATTACCTTCGTTTCCGGATAATGCGCGTTGATGGAGCCAAATTGAGCGATCGGAATTCAAACGACGTTGCAATTTACGAAGTCGTTCAAGGACACTTCCGCTATTTTCAATCAACAGAACATAATAAAATGGCACTGTTTTTTTCTTATCATACATAAAATGAACTTATGTAATATGTGATACAGTTAGGATGACGGAAGGATCGGTCTCAAAAGTGGGCATACATTAGTTTCTACATCTATAACGTGTTTTCTGAAACGACACCTTTGGAATCGCTTCCCGAGAAAGTCGCTACTTTGTCGTGATAAATGATTTTACCAAACAAACGGATAAAAGCAATCGACGAATTACGAGCACAATTTATATTGGCCGTCAATTCGCGGGGATTCAATCATCCCTTTATGCTCGGTAAATAGTTTGAAATGTTGCAATACCGTATATGAACAATTACATAAGTACATGGGTTAAGTAAAAAATGCTTCAGTATTGCGTAATGTAAAAATCTTCTGAGGACTGAGCAGGAGAATGGAGAGTAGTGTTTTAGAAGGTGCTGGAAATAATTGTGATGGGTATAAAAATCGTTGTGGTCAAAATCGGTCAACTAAGAAAGTTAGAGAGTTGATGCTAATTACGCGAAACCCAATAGGGGAACAGTTCACATAGATGACGTCAGAAATTGATTAGAATGGATATCGGACATTGCACTGACAAGCTCATGGTCAAGTTTTGAAGCCCAGGGATGTTTGCATTCCCCGAGGTGGTTATCATTAGCAGTTTGAAGCCTGACCCCTTCGTGCAAACGAAATTTGTGAGGTAGTTACTATTGCCATGGTTATCACCTTGCAACATACTTCCTTTCGTCTAACGCACATCCTTATACATATAAATAACAATTCATCCTCTTTAGTTCCTTATTACATAACTTTGAACCACTGCCCGGACTAATCTTCTGTACATCACCCAACGAAATGAACTGTACACATTGTTTTTCTGTCATTGACTTCCCAATCCAGTATTTCCTGTGGCTACATCCCATTCCTGAAAGCTGATTGCAAATTTATATGCTCAATAAATAAAAAGGAAGTGAAAACATTCCCATTGGTATTATTAGTCCTTTTATCCGAGGCTGGAATTACGTTCTGCGGCTCAGCTGTTTGCTGTAGCACGAGCGGTCAGCTAGTCTAAGACCACAAGATGTTAACGGTTGTAGATTTGCGCTCAAAATCATTACTTTCCATTGAATACGCCTCCATACAAACTGACTTACGAAATTAATCAGTGAATCAGAAAAGCTAGCTACCGACTTTTCCCGATCACTCATCGAAAACCCTTCTAATAGAATTAGAAATTTCAGTTAGCCAGTAATGAAACCTGTTATTGTAAACGGTGGAACGCTGTAATAACCGACAGAATTCCTTGAACTCTTGAACATTCTTATAGTTAACAAAGAAAAACATGACGCCTTTCCATTTACCCTAATCAATTGCCTATTCTCAGATTACGCATGGCTGCCTTCCAGTCCTCTTTTATACTCAAACAGCTAGCCTGTGCAACATTTCACTCCTGTCCATTTTCCTTGCATCTACAACTTCAAAATCTGCAAAACAATAATCAACAAACTGAATCTGTGGTGAACGTTTTTTCTCATATCACCCTCATCTTACAGCACGTCTGCGGATCACGGCGTTTACCCTTTTTCCTATAAATCACTCTGGATAATGAAGGATTAAAAATAATTTATTCCAGTAGAAAGATGCAGACAAAAAGGTAACTCACAACTGCATTAGTCAAGAACTCACTTAGACTGAACCTCACGAGGAGCCTTACTCACCAACGATACGTAGGGTGCCTCTGATGTATCGCGCTGAAGCTGATTCATGTATTCCAAGGTTGACGTGTCCCTAAAGGGACCACGATTGGATTCGGAGAAAAACAATTTGACATCTTCGGTCTGGGGATTTTCCAAATCTTCCAGTGTTTGTTGTTGCGATGTAGGAAGTGAACAGGAATCAGATATATGGTCATCCACAGCTTCTGTGTAGCTGGACTTCAAAAGAGATAGGATAATGGTTTACTGGACAGACATAGCTATGGTGTATATTCTAACGACATCGGCATATCTCTATAACTACATACATATATAACTATATACATAGGATTAAATAATTAACATTCAGTGCACAGAAGAGTCCACGAGCATAAAATCTTCATCATATTTAAGTTAACTCCAATTTTGACAGCAGCATTTTTGATGACAAGCGAAATGCAGGAATTGCGGGAATCGAAAGATGGCGTATTATCCACAAAGCCGTTCAATCAGCTTATTTAGCCGGGCAAGACGTCATGAGGGAATTATGTCACGTTTTCCGGATAGTAGGAATTCTTCGCTTCCATTTCGGCTTTTGCGAGCTCTATTTAATTTACGATCCATTTTTCTGGTGAAAAACGCTGATCTCGAGGGACGAGGTGTGAGAAGACTGAAGCAAGCATGTCACGAGATTAATTTCAAAAGAAAACACCGTGTTAAATACTGCGCAATTTACGTCCAGGATGATTTCGTTGCATTTCGACGTGATGCATACTGCAGGAAAAGTAATGTTTATATAGAGGTATAGCACAGCAATAAAGTAAAGTAAAATACTTCAAGTAAAATCGAGGATTGCTTGTGAACAGAAGTTATGTATTTTTCTACGTTTTGGCCACCTCGGGCGGTCTTCGTTAGGAGTACGCAAATCTTCAAGTAATCGGGATGAATATTATACATATAATACATTATCTAGAGATATACATTGAATATAAAATACACTGAAACAGACCGAATATAAAAAGGGGGAGGGGTAAAAGGAACATGTCACTAGGGTGAGGACAAGCTAACATCAAATTCTTTTTGTTGTGTTCCTTCAGTCAATAATAATCGCTTCGGCAAACTTTAACTATCCCGCAACTAGTGACTTGTAGATAATTCAAAACGCCGTGCTTCGTTCAATCTGGTGTTGCCTAGTCCGCAGAATTCGAGCAATGGTTGAGGATAATTTCTTGTGGTTTCAACCGTCATTTCCATGCGGCGGACTTGACCTTGACTGCGTCATTTGATTTTGGACCCAATTTGGAATATGTTCCACCACCCGACTGCGTAATTGTCGCTGTGTTCTGCTCACATAGGTCGCTCTGCACCCATATTATGATTGGTAGATCAGGTTGGAGTTGGCGTGCAGTGGCAGACGTTTTTCGCCGGGGATGTGGGTATTCTAGTTGTCCGGCAGACGATCTGGAAGTCAGCGGCATAGAAGTTTCGAGCGATTGATGAATTCAGTTGTTTCTTGAACAAACGGCTTACGTCATCACCTTTAGGTGAAGGCACAATGTGACACGTAACTTTGGAAAAGACGTAAACGGGTCTTTCACAATTCTCGGTTTGCTGTGCTTGTTAACGAACACTTTGGAGTAAGCGGTTTTTGCTAAAAATTTCCGAAAAATTTTAGCCTTCTTGTTCAATTCTGCCCTTCGCGTAGATTTGTCTTATCGTGTCAAATAAGGTCCGAACAGGACCACGATTATACTCCAGGGATACGAAGCTTTCGAAGTGTAGATACTGGCCTGTCCAGGTCTCTTTTCGATAAACGGATCGATAAATTGTTCCGTTTTCTCTTCTGGTCAAGGAAACTGTATTTTTTGGCTTCAGATTCCATTGTGAACCGTAAATTTTGATGTGGTCTATTGAGTTCATCCATAATTAACGTAGCTTCTATCAAGCTTTCTGTTATAACCAGGGTGTCGACCACGTATCTTTTGTACAGGATAGCACGCTCCACAATATTAGTTCCTTTTTGTTTCAGATGTGCCATAAACAAGTCTGCCAGGATTGGGCCTAGCAGGCTGCCCATTGTGATAACACCGATTTGCCTGTACACATTTCCTTGAAAAGTGAAAGNAGTGAAAGACACGTTGGTTGTGCAGAGCAGTAATGGACGGATACCGTTAGACTCAATCGAATCTGTTCCTTTTCTACATGGCAGATGATTTTTATGTATTTCACTGTGTATGGATTTTACTTTTCTGTCATGTTATGGGCCTGTATAAACATTGCATTTCTGCAGTATGCACCATGTTGAGATGCAGCAAAGTCGTCCTGGGTATAAATGCAATATTGCGACACGGTCTTTTGAAAAACGGTTCTTTTGGAAATACCGCTTGTTTCACAGATAATACTCAAACTTTTATGAAGACTGGCAAACCAGTAATACCCGATACGGTTCATCAAATGCAATGCTCGAAACTTCATGGTTCCTAATGTCAACACTCATTCCACGTGATACTAAATTAAGGAAAACTGACTCACGCATTGTTCTGATGATTCGATCACAAGAAGTTCATGTCCTGAGTAGGTAAAACAATCATCCTCGGGACTTGATGTCGGAGACACTACAGGAAGAACCTCTCTATCGTGCTTTTCCATGGAGGATGGCGCATTACACATCCGACGAAAAGATTTCTTTCTGTGAGCTGATCCATCCGATAAAATAGATGACTGGATCCATTGCGCAGACGAATTGCAATCCACACTGTCAATAGGAAAACCTATTTTTTCTATCTTACCTTCTACGTTTTACCTTGACTTGTCTTGGAATTATCCAACTTTTTACAGTTGGACGGTTCATTTGAAAAAGCGAATGATTAGAACAACAATTCCTAAAATACAATGATCAAACTGATAGTAGAGCGTGCATTTGAAAGACTTGAGGAGAAAGCATTTTCTCCACCAACAGCGATGTCCCTTACAACTTCTGATTTATATCTCCATTTAAATACTACAGTTTAACTGCTCATATCCCCATGATTTCAGCCATTGCAACTGACGTACTAACTAAAGATAACTTTCACTAGTGCTCCCGAAATGGGCACAACTAAACATCCTCAGGGTCATCCACAGTTTACCAAGGTAGATGAGCTAAAAAAAAGCTCGTACGGATCTCTGATAATGCATGGGTTGCCTGATAACTTCCAAGTAATACCATAAGAAACGTGCTGTAGAGGTGTAGTCCTACTTTTCCATACTTTATAAACAGCCTTATATCATTATCTTCCAGCTCGTTTTTGATGCGCAAAATCTGCTCGTAGCTATGCACGAGTTCTTGGAGTGTTCCTGAAGTAGGGTATTTTGATTGGATATCATCAAGCGATCAATTAAATGTTGCAGCGAGTTAAAAAAACATTAGGGAGAAGAGGGGACCTGATTAAGAGGGATTAAAAGAGGAATTTTCGAAGCATTCAAACAGGATTGGGACAATCTCATGCGGAGATGAGCCCAATATCAAAAGCCAGAGATGCACTAGTGACTGTGATCTTCACAGATATCGGTAGTGGTCTGACAGATTGTGGCTTACTATCACGCACAACCTATCGAGGCCTAATGTGATTTAAGTCTCAGGGTTGGGTTGCGGGTTTTCTCTCACATCGTACTGCAACAGTAAAACTCAAGTGAATCACCGCATGCACATTCTCACAGAACCCAGACCACCCCCTTACTGCCCTCTCTAACGTTCACAGTTAGAA